GCTGGTAGGGCTGGGGAAGGGTGGCTAGGCGGGGGTTGACGGGGGTGTAGATATAGGGTGTGAGGTGGGAAGGAGGTTACGGAGGGTGATGGGCACCCGATGGTGAGTCCGGCACCAATCGGGACGCGGTCGGGGATGGTGTGAGTCTTTACATAGGCTGGTGGGGGATGACCTTGGATCGGTCTAGGAAAGGGGGGAGGGGGAGGGGAAGGAGGGAGGGAGGGTGGGAGGGAGGGGGTCTCGGTTGCCGTGTTTGGTCCCCGCCATGTACTGCAAAATCTCCTCACCTGGGAAATCTTTTCCCTCCTTAACCTGCATGTTCGGTGTGTGTGTATGTATATGTTTTCGCTTCTGGTGCTTCCGCGCCTTCGTAACACCTCCCACAACCCCTGAATCGATGGATGCCCCTTCTTTTCCCACCCACCCCCCACCCCCACTCACCCGATCGGGGTGTGTGGGGTTATATGTCATCATTGAACCACGTGGGGCTGGGCCTGGTCGGGTCGGGTGGCTGGTCGAGCAGATCGGGCTATCGGCCATGTTGGTTAGTGTGGTGGCGGAGTCCGTACGACTGGTGATGACGCAATACCTGCTGGCGGCGGGGGGCGGCGGCGCCAGCAGCTTGGCGCCCTTGGAGGGGCTGTTTTTCATTAGCTCGGCATGTACGGCAGTTCTCACCGTACAGGCGTCGTACTTGGAATGGCCGAAGCTCCTGCGGCAGCAGCACTACCTTGTCGTACCACTGCACCCGTACAGCTTCGCAGCAGCTGCCTGCTGCGGCTTCCTCGTCAACCTGTTGGCCATCGTCGTCATCAAACTGGCTTCGTCGTTGACTCTGAAGGTGATGGTTCGGGTGTGGTGGAGGGGATTAGGGAGCGCAGCGGGGGAGGGGAGAAGTGAGGGGAAGGGAGAAGTGGGGGGAGGGGAGAAGTGGGGGGAGGGGAGAAGTGGGGGGAAACACAGGTACGCGGGAGGCAGGGCTGGGGTTGGGGTTGTGTAGTAGCTGGTCGCTGAAAGGCCGCTCAAGATGCTAGCTGGCAGAGCGTTCTAGCGTCTATTTGTAAACGATGTCTGCACCGTACTGTACGACAGCTTTACTACAAGTAGTAGCTGGGGTTGGAAGAAGACACATTGCGAGGGAAACCCTAAACCCCTCAAAGCTCAGAAAACTTCCCGAGGCTCCAGCAACGTTATTTGTACGACGGCCCTGCCCACTTCCATTCCCCGTCCTTCAAGCCCGCCGGGGGCCCCCCTTTGCCTTATGAGACTGCCGCCGCACCTCACCGATGTACTACAGTTTCACAAACATATTCACATACATATGCGACATGACTAAGACGTTACAACAACAACTGCTTTATTAACGGATATGTCGTTTTTTCTTTGTCGTACAAAACGAAATGCCGTACTTGTTGCACCTTGCCGTACACACAGGTCCTCGGTACGGTCAAGGACGCGGCCCTGGTCAGCATCGGCATCTTGTTCCTCCGTGAACGGGTAACCGCACTGCAGCTTGTGGGGTATACCGTTAGTATGGTTGGGTTTGTGTCGTACAACATGATTAAAGCAGCCCAGCAGCAGCACGCCTCGCAGCCGAAGGGCGAAGGGGCGCTCGGCGGGCTGGGCGTCGGCAGCGGCGGAAACGGAAGTGGTGCCGTACGGTCGTTGTTGCCGTACTACACTATCAACGCAAATGCTGCCAGCAGCAAGGTGCGATGATGTAGTTGTAGCGACAAATGGCGCTGTGGTGGAGAACGCTAGCGGCAGTGCCGCCAGTAGTACCTCCGCCGTAGTGGTCCTTGCTGCCCTTTGCTTCTGCTGATACAGAGCTGGGCAGCGTGCAGGTTCGGTTTTCGGAGCCTGGTGGCTACCTTTCGGTAAAAACGGCATTTTTCACTCTGTCATGCATATGTGACCATATCCCCCTTCATAGCCAGGAGTTTTATTACCTTCCATTCTGTGTAGATCAGGAAAACTTGCGACTTGTGAAATGCGAAGCTTTTGACGGCGTTCTAAAAGCGGTTAAGGCTTGGCTCGAGCAGCAGCAGCAGCAGCAGCAGCACCATCACCATCACCAGGACTCGGCTGGAATGCTGAATCTGAAACCTGTTTAAAATGCAATGCCATTTTGCGAACGACCGAACGCGACAATCTATTTGCGCCCTGCGAGCCTCTCTAGTTAAGAGGGATTGCCTCAACAACATCACCGCATCGCATATTGATTATGGTACGTGGCTGTAGCTGTAGCTGTAGCGGCACTCGGCTGCCCCTGGCGGCGGGACTTGGCGTCCTCGCGGCGCCTCTGCACCGGCGGTGGGGCACCGCGAACCCAACAGACCCAACATCGCAACTGGGCGCAGCAGATGCATGCACATGGATGGTAGTCCTCCCCCTCCCCCACTGGTCCATGGGCTGTACAACCCGTACCTTGGACCACCACCCCGATCCCCTCGACCCACTTTCCCCCTTGCGACGATCTTTTCCGTCGGGAAGGGGGAAGTGGATCTGGTGGTGGTGATGGTGCTAGCGGTGATGTTTGATTGTTCTTTGGGGCTGGGCGGGCTGGGGTAGCTGGTGCAGGTGCGGGGAGGAGGGGGTCAGGGGAAGAGAAAGTACTTTGCGTGTTGCCTGAAAGGGGCCTCTGAACGTTTTTCATGGGGGCCTCTGAACGTTTTTCCCGTTGACCCCAACCGGGGCTGTGGATGACCTGAGAGTGTCCGTGCGAAGCGATGAAGAGGTGCCCTCTCGCGTTGAGTGAGAGAGCGAGCGCGTGGAGCGCGAGGGGGGAAACCCCGTGGGGGTGGCGGTGAAGTAGATACCAGGGCCCGAAAGAGGGCCCCAAGAGGGGGAGGAGGAGGAGAGGGAATATGGAGCTAGAGCCGGGGACATGAAAGAGAGCGAGCGAGAGGGCGATGTCTTTGATTATACATCTTGGACTGGTGTGGGATGGATGTACTAGGGTGTTGTGAATGAACAGAAAACCACCAATTGCTGCACAGAGTAATGATGTGACGTGTGCTAGGCGGCAGTAGTTGCACCTCGGAGGCGGTCCTAAGCAGAGAGCGTACTGCACACCGCAAAGTAAACCTCTTCCCATCCAGCACCACCACTTCACATACCCCCCAACGTGTCGGACCTTACCCGTGCCCCCGTCCCATGCTGTTTGTTTGCCATCGTCCTTGTTTGCCACCTCCGTCATCACCATCAGCAGGCCCCAAGACCTGACTGATGGGAGCGGTTATCGGTCAGTCAGTCAGTCAGTCAGGCGTTCATTTCGACGGATAGACAGATCAGACGGGCGCATGGCCCATGAACGCGCATGCGCACAGACGTGCTTCATAATTGCTGGACTACGAAGGTTTTGCATTTGGCTTCTTCAAGTTTTATCTATTCACATCTCGTGGCTCAGTTCATTTAAGCACACATGCAAATGCGTTAATTTACCAGATCATTCGAATTCGTCCGTCCCGCACATCTCGAGATGGAGATATAGACATCATGCCACAACAAAAACGCCGTCATAGCTGCCGGATTCGGGCGTTTTCCTCTCCTCCATTGCGATCTTTCCCCCTCCCGCTCTCGCTCGCTCTCTTCCGATTGAAGTCGAAGCAGGATAGGGCATAGCCAAGTTGAAAGAAAGAAAGCTGGCCAGTATCAGCCCATGCCCGCCGCGGCCCTGTCGCGTGTTAGGCTCAGACATCCCTTCATCTGACAGTTTTCCGTACGTTACATTGCCGCTGCATGGTCCCCGCTTCCTCTAACCTCCAACCCCCCCTCCAACTCAACCACTTCACAAACAACATTCCCCCAGTTTCCTTATCAACACCCCGATTAGTCGTTACCACACGTAGCCCTCCCCCACGTTTAACCGTAACACCCTTCTTCACCCCGTTTGGCTTGCCGTCCTAAGCCCTCTCCGTCTCCGTCTCCACCTAAACCTTTATCACAGACCTCCAGCCATAATTAGACGCCCTCTCGCGCTGGCCAATATCTCCACAAACGCTCCCCATATATACACACACACATACCACCCAGTCGCCTTCGTCCTTTATTCACTCGAAATGGCAGACGTCATTTCCGTACTGCTGGATCGGCAGCCAGTAGCCCTTAGGGTGGTCCACTTTGACCCAGCCCGGGTGCTCCTGGCTCTTCCAGCCCTGAGGGGGTTTGGGGAAGGTAAAGGAGATATGGAGGTGGGCGAGGAGGAGAACCGCTAACCGCGTGGGGACAGATGTGCAGCTCGAGGGAACGGGAAATGGCGAAGGCAATGGGGACAGAGAGGTATCAATCAACCAGGAGGGGAGGACGTGGAAGGGAGTACTGAAGGGTGATGGACTAGCGGGGGGTCATGGAGGTGGAGGGAGGCTGGTTAACTGGACATGCTAACTGGCTGACCGGGATACATCGCTTGGCACCGCAGTTCAAACTTTAGAAAACCTCGGTATTGGTGAATTCCGCTATAGCCGAGTAACAGTTAGGGCAGCCCCGTATTGGAGTTGTGACAGGCAGCTTCAATGACGATGGTCATGGTCATTGTGTGCCAGGGTGGTTGGCGAACCCGTTGCCCTCATGGCGGGGCCTTGCCAACCTTGAAGACAGTTCCGTTGCGCGGCCAGTCAGGTGCAGAGACAGAAGCATTCATATCCGGCTTGGAACGCCAGAACATTCCCGTGCAGCCGTTCTTGGAGGCATCCATTCGGATAGCGACCTGCGAGGCGGCCCCCCCAATCGGTCACGCTCTGAATTGCAATATCCTGGTTCACCAAGTGTATGATTCCCAACCTTGTTTTCATCTGAGAAGACGTCTTTTGTTGCCATGGCGCGAATCGTCAACGCGCGACGGGAGGGGCTGGGCAACACAGCAGCGAAAGGACGGCTGCTGGTGAGACGGAGGGTAGCCATTGGACAAGAAGTGTTTCAGGACAGTGATGAGTTTCTTGTTCAAGTTACTGTAAATTAGTTACAATTAGCAACCACGCATTTCGCTTGCACGGATCCTGACTGGCCACATATCGCGCCAACTGTAACAAGGGCTGCCTTAGCGGTGTTACACCAACTCACAGAGTAAAGCTAGGTTAGTTGATCATTACAATATCATTCAATCTTGTTTTTGGTATTCAGCGCGTGCTGATCAGTAAAACATGTCGGCCTTCTATTACCATATTGTGCCTTCGGCTGGTCAGCGAGGCCTATCAGGTGTAATGCTTACCTCTAATCTAGCGTCACGTAGATCGCCCGAAACTGAAGGGGGACCATAACGAGCGTGCTGTTGGCGTCGATGGTCCCAGTGGCGCAATCATAACACGATTTCTTTACTATAAGTCGACTCTCCCCCTATCAGCTCACAGGTTGTGATCTTCGTGCTGATGCGTTAGCGTGAATTGCCAATTTCAGCCGTTCCACACCCTCGACCAACGTCTGCTAGCGCTCCCGCTACCACCCGGATCTTCCGCCCCCAAGTCCTCAATCCCACATTGGCATCATTAGCAGCCAGGCGCTGCTACAGCAGGTGCTGGGTTACCGGCACCTCCACTACCGCAGGTTCTGTTAAGACCAACAAAGCGCCGGAACCCAGCCGGGTCCTATTATTGCTGTTACCATCCACTGGTATATGAGTGTCGGTCATCTCCAACAGGTTCCTCGCATCCGCCGTAACAGGGGGTTTAGGATACCGCATCATCTCATCAATCGAAACGTATATTGCATAGAACAACCACCTTCGCAGGTAAATACGACAACCCTTATTCCCTGCGCAAAGTCTAGAAGAATATGCCCTTTTGCATACCAGGAAGGTGTGTGTCAACTCCACTCGGAGTTTGCGCTCCACGTGCACACACGCCATACGGCCAAAAACGTGCAGTAAACTCCGAAAAACGCCTCATGCGGTGTTACACGCTTACCAGTGAAAATTGCGGACCGCGCAGGTTCCGTCATAAGGGCCTAAACCCGGGAGCAGCAACAGCAGCAGCAACAAGCAGGTCGATACGACACCTCCTGCGGCCCTTACATGCTCGCTGGCTGGCATTTGGGTCGAGATACAACAGCCACGGGTAGCCGACCCGCCAATGACCGCGAGGCGCAGCAAGTAGTCCATCCAAACCACCCGCCAGCCACATTTCCACGCTACGACTACGATCATCCTAGATGCGAACACATAGGACACGCATTGAGCGGTTTCAAGGACCCAGGCCGGATTGGTGGCTATTCCTGAACCCTCTGTCCCTGCGGATGTTCCGTTGACTGGATGACGAGGGATCCCAGAAGGCAGGTTTAACCGCCTTGGACTTGCAGTTCGTATGGCGTAGTACAATGTGGTAATGGTGGATGATGCTGTATGGTGTGATAAATCGTAGGAACGACAATGTGTTCGATTGGCCCAGAAGCCTCCCACTCTGTCACATCACGTCACGTCATATCGCATCGCAATCGCATCACACCTGGTCGCATACCTCTGTTGGATCTACAAGGCGGACACATGCAGTCAATGCCCTCGTGGGCCCCAACATGGCCCGCCATCGGCCCTTCCCCTGCCAACAATGCCTTTTTCCACAGACCTGCTGACCTTCCCACCCTGGCTCCCTTTCTAGATCTTAAGTCCGCATCCGGGTGCAACGTCCCGGTAATCCTCCCATTCAGCCATGAACCCCCCTCCTCCTCCTCTTCGCCCTCCTCTTCCTCCTCCTCCTCTTCCTCCTCCTCCTCCTCCTCCTCTTCGCCCTCCTCCTCCTCCTCCTCCTCTTCCTCCTCCTCCTCCTCCTCCTCTTCGCCCTCCTCCTCCTCCTCCTCCTCCTCCTCTTCCTCCTCCTCCTCCTCCTCCTCCTCC